TGTGAATAGCTTTACAAAGTCTAAAGTGATAAGTTCACCAGGAGAGGCACCCATGAAGCAGGGCTCAAAGGGAGCGGGGGGTGAGATACATAAGAAGGAGAAATTACTTCTGCTTGAGCTGTAAATTCTAAGGAAGAAGTCTGAGGTTTATTTGGTGGGAAAGGGAGTTGTTAAGCCAGGGAATGGTGGTATGCAGCAGATTAACTGGGTAGTGACACAGAGAATGCCCATGAGCGGAGAGCCAGCCAGGAATCGTTGCAGGAACTTAGATATGAGGGGACTAAGGCCTGGCCGAGGTCAGTGCCATGTGCATTGGATGTGGAGGAAAGAACGAATCCAAAAGGTATTTCCAAATGACAGACTTGATGAGAGACTGGATACACAGAATAAAGAAAGGGAGTGAAGCAAAGGTAACTTGAATGTTTTGATCCTGAAAGACTGACACAGTGGGGTTGCCTCTCACTGGAATCATAAGATGTAGGGCGACAGCACACCTCATTAATGCAAATACACGTCCACAGACATACCTCCCTGCACGTCCACAGACACACACTTCACTGCACGTCCACAGACACACACCTCACTGCATGTCCACAGACACACGCCTCCCTGCACGTCCACAGACACACACCTCACTGCACGTCCACAGACACACAACCCACTGCACGTCCGCAGACACACACCTCACTGCACGTCCACAGACACACACCTCACTGCATGTCCACAGACACACGCCTCCCTGCACGTCCACAGACACACGCCTCACTGCACGTCCACAGACACACACCTCACTGCATGTCCACAGACACACGCCTCCCTGCACGTCCACAGACACACACCTCACTGCACATCCACAGACACCTCGCTGCACGTCCAGACACACGCCTCCCTGCACGTCCGCAGACACACACCTCACTGCACATCCACAGACACCTCGCTGCACGTCCACAGACACATATCTTGATGCACAGCCGTATGTCTGCATTTCACATTAGTGTGTGTGTATGTGTTTTATTTGCAGTGGAGATCCTTTGGGGTATCTGCCCATCTCCTGAGACCCCCTTTTGCTCCCTCACAACAGGAGTCAGGAGCTCTTGACAACCATTTTGCATCATAACCCTACCCCTACTTCCAGCCACAGCTAATGGAACAGGGATGGATGCCTGACCCAAAGTGAACCAAATTTTTTCTCTTATAAACTTGGAACTAGGAGTGAGAGTTCGGTTTCTACCTGAGCTGTTTGCTGGAGCTCAAGTGACATAGACTTGGTAGGCACAGAGCAGCCATCCTCCATTTATCATGTACACAGAGAAGAGGAGAAATCCAGTCTGCAGGGCAAGAAGGATGCAGCAGAACAGAGCAGAGACAAGGCAGAGGGAATCCCTCCTGATTCTGCAGCTTCACACTTCTTGCCTTTAGAGTGCACATGACAGCCCAGAATCCATCAAACCAACTCCCCTGTTTCTTCAAGCTGGCTTGAGTCTGTGTCTGTAACTTGCAGTTTGGAAACTGACCCCGCTTTATTTTACTGAAATATGGGATCATGTTGAGGCCTGCAAGAGGTTAGTTCACATTTCTTAGTAGGTAAGTTCCCCTCTGAGAAGGGGACCTCATCCTAGTGTCAGTCCCCCAGAAGCAGTAGGGAATGGAAACTTTGATGATGGGACATGGGTAGGAAGTGAGGGAAGTTGACCTTGTCCAGGTATTAAGAGGTCCAGATGTCTAGGGCTGCACCCTCATGAGAGACCAAGTTCCGAGGAAAGGAGCAACCCAAGTAAAACCTTTCCTTCCTATGGATGAACTCCAGATATGTTGTCTTCTCTGTGTTTGTATCTGTTGTAACAGGATATGGTTAAGAGCAATGGATCTGGGTCAGGCTGTCCTGGGTTCAAATCCAAGTTCAGTCTCTTACTGCTGGGTACCTTACTCAACCTCTCTGAGACTCAATTTCTTGAAAATTCAGAAATAGGAGTAATATGTCTCTCACACAGTTGTGTTTGAGTCTCTAAGGGGCCCAGTAAATAGCACACAACCTCTTCCCAATCCAAGTTTTGTACCATTTAAGAAATAAAAAGGTCAGTAGAAACAATGTCATCCTTATAATTGGTGTAGGCTACAGTGAACAACACTGCCCAAGTATGAGTTAAAACGGGTTACGTAAGTCCATATTCCCAGGGGGACCCTTCACACCAGGGAAGTGTGAGTCTGCAGAGTGTACACACTGTCCAGGTTGTGGCCTCCCACTGGTATGAGAGGAGACCCACCCTCAGAACCTGTGATAGATGAGCTCACACAACCAGGAAATGTAGACCAATGGCTGTCGCCCACCCGCTGGTCACTGCGGGCAGCAGTGAGGAATGGGGCAAGAGACCGCAAGTGTGGGAGAAAGCCCTCTCAGGAGCCAGAACTGTGTCCCTCCCCATCCCCCAACTGATGCAGTCCACCCTCGGTATCCATGGGTTCCACGTCCACGGGTTCACCCAACTTTGAAAGGCCTGGGATGGGTGCATCTGTACTGAACATGTACAGACCTTTTTTTCTTGCCATTATTCCCTAAACAATACAATATAACAACTATTTACATAGCACTTACATTGTACTAGTTATTATAAGGAATATGGAAATGATTCAGAGTTTACAGGAGGATATGCATAGGTTATATGCAAATATAATACTGCACCGTTTTATATAAGGGACTTCAGCATCCACAGAGTTTGGTATCCACCAGGGTCCTGGAACCAATCCCCTGTGGATACCCAGGGAGGACTAGTTGTTAGGACTGAGTGAAACAATCCAGGAAAGTGGCATCATATCCCATGAGTATCTAACCAAATTAAAGTCAACCATTCTCAGCAAGAGAGAGACATAACTGACATCTTTGGATATAGGGGTTCTGCCCACCATTGCGCTGGATGGGTGCATCTCAGGGAGATGTGAGATGGGATGTGTGGATCTGTAACTCCCTCCCTCTGTCGCATCCACACTGCCTCAGGACGTGAAGATCTCCATGTTCTCGCAATGACTGCAGTATGTGTTGTTTCCAGTTTTTTACTATGACAAACAACATTGCTATAAACATTTTTGTATGTGTCTCTTGATGCCCATATGTACACAGCTGTACATATGCGGAATTTCTCATCGTGGGGTCATGTGTGCATTCAGCTTCAGTAGATACTGCCAAACAAGTTTTCAGTGTAACAGTCCCACTCCTTGGATGTCTAGACATATATGCCTGTGAGAACAGGGCTGACGTAAAGGGGTGGACAGCCAGACCAGGCCTAGGCTGGGAAGCAGCTGTCTGCTGTGGGCGGCAGCAGCTTTTGTCCAAAGACCACCCCCACCCTGCAACATGAGGGAGGCTCATCTAAGGGAAACAGGCAGAGCCACATGGCCTACCAGAGATTCTCGCAGCACCAACTCCGGGGATTCTGAGTGCCAGATTTTCTGAAGAAAACATTTCCTTACATGTGTGGAGCTGGCTAGGGTTTGGAGAAGGAAGATGGAAACGTGAGTGCAGAGAATGTGCCTATAGATGTAGATTTGGAGGTGTTCACATAAAGGTCCACCGTCCCCAACGCAGGCTCCATGAGAGCCACGACCCCTGCATGTCTCCATCCCCACGTGTCCCCATGCCACAGCTGAGCCTGCCGCAGGGCAAGAGCGCTATCCACACTCGCTCAAAGAAGGAACAGATTTCCCAGGAGCTGACTGAGGAACGGTGGCCACTGCAGGGGAGTCAAAAGAATCAGACGTAGTTTCCCGCCATGGAATCTGCAGCATCTTTGTAAGAGAGCGGAGAGTTCAAGGTGGATTTCTGCAGGACAACATGGCAGACAGAAGGAGAATCAGCCCAGTAGAGCCTGACAAGGAGCAGCTTGGAGGGGAAGGGAGAGGATCAGAAGAAGGGGGGTCACAGAAACCAAAACAGGGTCGTGAAGAATGGATGTTCAACCATATCTAACAGTAGTCAACAAACAGGAGGCCCCCACAAAAGTAGCTTAAGATAAGTCAGATAATCTTTGAAGAAGCTATTTCAAGGAAATGCAACGATATAGGTCAGATGAACATATGTACATTGTATACATTATGTCACATCAACACATATACGTAATATACATCCCATATTGTGAACAAGAGGAAGCACATGGTATGTTTTCTCCCCAGGTAACAAGAACAGTTTGTTTGGTTAGCACCTTGGGGGCCACTGTAATTTGTTCCCCAAACTGGAAGATTCATGTATTCTTTCTACATTCAGAAGAAGTTAGACAACTTTTATCCTCAGAATGAAGTCAGGAGCAACCAGCTGGCAGAGGCCAAAGGGAAAAGAGAAAGATGTTGAAAACCGACTGTATGCTTGTCACTTCACAGGTAATTTCCCTTTGTGTTCACAACAATCTAGTTAGGCAGGAATTACTGCCCCCATTTTCCAAATGGAAAAATTCATGCTCATAGGTTAAGGGACTTGTTTGAAAGCAGACAGCCAGCTAGGGCCCAGCTGGGGTCAACTGCAGGGCTGGCTCACCTGGAGCCTGTGGTCCTTCCCACATCACGCCACGCCCCCGGCAGCTAAGCGCACTTCTTCACAAGCAGAGCGCCTGACAACACTTTCTATATTTCTCAATAGTAGGGAGTTTTTAAGGTTTAATTTAATTTTGTTATTATTATTATAACTTTTTATATTGAAATGGTTTAAAACTCATAAGAAATTGCAGAAATAGCACAGAGAATTCGTGTGTATCCTTCGCATACGTTTCCCCAATGATAATATTTTCCATAGTCATAGTACATTATCAAAACCAGGAAATCGATGTTGGTACAATACTATTAATTCAGGGGTTTTCAACCTCGGCACTGAGATTTTAGGCCAGACAATTCTTTGTTGTGGGGCTCTCCTGTGCACTGTAGGATGTTTAGCAGCATCCCTGGCTGCTACCCACTAAATACCAGTAGCACCCCTCCCAGTTGTGACCACCAAAAATGTTTCCAGACTCAGCGATAGCTTTTAAAGTACCAAAGTGCTTTACATTCTTTATTCAAAATAGGACTTTGGGTTCAGCATTTTTTAGATGTAACACATACAGAAAAATAAACATAAAGCAGAACAGTCAAAATGTTTTTTTAAAAACCCTCAGAATTGAAAAGACATTTTAAACCACAAAGATATAACTATGCTTTTAAAATCAAGGAGAAACACAAGGGCTGGGTTTTGACTACAGTAGTTCTTAGTTTAAATAAACGTTATCAAAAATCACATTCACAGGAATTTGTTATTCATCTCAGACATTCCACTTGGCACATTTCTCAAGCAAATCTTAAAACGGAGGTTAATGAGGTTATTTTCTCTCACCTTATTAGAAGGAACTGTGTAAAATTCATGTAATCACATAAAAATATGCTGTCTGAAATAGTGGCCCACTCTTGTCTCTGCTGCATGCCTGATAAAGGCGCGCTCGGCCCCATCTGGTTTCAGCTAAGGAGGACAGACACTATGCCAACAAAAGCTGATGCTCATCTTTGCTCCAGCTCTGAGGACCACCCCCACCCCCAGGTAGGGCTGGAAACTTCCACTTCCTTTGGCACGTCAGCACCCTCCACAGGCAGTCTCCCTAGGAAGCTCAGGGGTTTCAGAGAGACACGTAGGTAAGCCACACTGCATTTTCAGACCCGGGAGAAATGACTCAGGTGTTTCAGTGATATTACAGTGGCAATCAGCCTTAACAATATCGGGCTCTGGGCAAACACACGTAAGTCAGACTCCATCGGTACTCACCGAGGAAGCCTTTGCACATTAGGTTGGGTCTCCCTGCCCTATAGTCCCAAACCTCTGCCATCACATAATGGGTCAGGCTTCGCAGGTGTCTCTGCCACTGCCTCTGACATTTGTGCCCACAGAGAATGTTGCTGAATCATTTTAGAAACCCTTGGCTGCAACAAATTTATCTGGATAGTGAAGACTCTGAAAGATCTTATGAACCAACTAGATGGGGCAGAGTCAAAAGTGAAGGCTCAGAAAGCTGTGCCTTCGACCTCGCAGCTATCAGTGCCCTTCTGCCCAGGCCAGGTCTCGGGGGTTGGGGAGGACACACCACAGACCAGGGCAGAGACCCAAGCAGGCGTCTCATCCCCTCCACCTTCTCAGGGCTCTAGATAGCGGCAGGTCGTGCTGGGCAGGGGCAACACCCAGGCTCAGAAGTCAGTGCCTTTACAACCCATTTTGAGGGTGCAGTTTCCTCTGCCAGAAAAACCAGTCTTTCAGGGCATGTTGCTCCAATACATAAATTCATTTTCAGTGACTTGCTGGGAAACAGCAAATCCAGAATAACTCAGGATCTAGTAACAGAAGCAACCTCTAGTTCAGATTTTGGGGAGTAGGGGCAAAGTGGGAGGCTCACAAACTTTTCTAAATATGTACTAACTTTTGTTTTTTTTGCAAAAGAACATGTATTTCATTGTTAAGCACTTGTCTACAATTTAACATACATTAATATCTGCAATTATCCATTTAATATCAATTTGTAGATATTCCAGGGACCTTCAAACTCAGATTTATAAAATTACAATCCTAATACAATAAATGGCAGCTCTGGTGATCTAGTGATTAAGATTTGTTGCTCTCACTGCTGTGGCCTGGGTTCATTTCCCAGTCAGCGAACCACACCACGCATCTGTTGGCTGTCACACTGTGGCGGCTGCAGGTTGCCGTGATACTGAAAGCTACGTCACCTGTATTTCAAATACCAGCAGGGTCACCCTTGGTGGACAAGTTTCAGCAGAGCTTCCAGACTAGGCAGACTAGGAAGAAAGACCTGCCACCCACTTCCGAAAACATTGGCCATGAAAACCCGTGAATAGCTGCGAAGTGGTACACGGTCTGATACAGCCCAGAAAGTGAGAGGATGGCACAAAAAGACCGGGCAGGGTTCTGCTCTGCTGTCCACAGTGTCACCAGGAGTCGGAATCCACTCGACTGCACTAACAACAACAAACAATATAATAAATAGGACTCACTAATCTTGGGGTCTGCAGTTAATTGTGACATGGGTGGTAACACACAGGTTTTGAGGTTTTTTGCCTGAATGTCAAAAACAACATGCCTGAAGTCTGTGCTTAAAAACACGACTGCTACTTAACCAAACAGAAAGGAACATACAGATGGAATGCTCTGGACTATTTAAAGAGGTTCTGAATATAAATTCACATTTCTTTTTAAATAATGTAAAAATTAGGAAAAAACCTAACTTTCTCCAAGAAATAGTAACCTCTTTCACCTGCTTAGGGTATAAAAAGATGCCACTTCAGCTGTGCCAGAACAGCCTCCTGATAACAAGGGTTCCTTATCCAAAGATCTCAAGGGAGGAGCTGAAACCACATATCCTCTAAGAGCACTGCAAGGCGGCCCCTTTAAAGACCATCAGCTTCCTGTGACCACAAACTTCTCATCTGCTGGAGAAGATGCTTCCTCAACATAACATGTATAGCTATTTGTAGAAAAGCCATTTGCAGGATGTGCTCATGAATTTTTCAACTCGGAGATTAAATGTTTCAAGCTTAGTTCACAAAATCCACCCGCCTTCAATCTTCATTCCATTCAGATTTTCAGACCAAATTTCCCATTTCAGGATACATTAGGATGTTGTTGACTTTCCATGGGAAATGACTTGAGGTAACAAGTTTCAAAGGACCTGAGCAAGTCAACAATATGATTGTACCTAAGCAAGCAAGTACAATCATGGAGAAATTATACTGCTCTAATTTCTTTAAATGTCTGTAAGTTACTCTAAAATATCCTTGATTACCAGAGATATTTGTATATATGTAGACTTCCCAGCTGAACTGGCTCTGAACTCATGACTTAAATAAACTTCTATTCTATTAGATTCACTGGGCAAATCTCACTAGCACATCTTAAAAGTAAGCCCTTGACCTTTGCCATCTCAAAAATCTACATTCAGCTGAAATGTGACTCTATTCTTTCCTTGCCAAAATTTGTCAGCTCACAGATGGCCAAGGTCAAAGAACTAAACTCCACAATATGTGAAGTCTACCAAAAATATTCAAAGGAGTTTAAATCCTAATGAGCCTAAATTACAGTATTTAGCACTCCAACAACCAGCTCTTGGAGGATTAAAAGACCATTTAGGGCTGCATTCTAACAGTCTCCTTGATCAGCTAAAAGGAGTCCAGAGAGGAAAATGAAAATATACTAGGCCACCTAGAACGTGTCTATTATGGAGTCGGGAAGAGAAACCAGGGGCAGCCTCTCCCAGCCAGCTTCCAGGCGCTGCCCACTTATCTACAAGATGCCAGGACCATTCTGTAGGAGGAAAGGCCAGGTCCCTGGGCTGAGCCCAGATTGTCAGGTTCTACCTGCTCCCAGCCCCTTGCCCCTGCGACCACAAAGAGCACACCCCAGATCCCTGGAAGACCGTCCAGGCCCTGGCATCATGGGCTTGGCTGGGCAAAGGCCGAACAGCAAACAGCTCGCTGTTTGTCAGAGTTGTTTGTTAAGGTACCACACGTCATGGTGCTCCCTTTAACCTACAAACCTGTGTCCCACTCTGTGAACCAAAAATGCACATTTGATTCAGTTCCACGATGCCACATCCCATTTCCTCCCAAAGGCTGTTCCTTGTGCTCCTGACAAAGCACACGTGACACAGATCACTATACCCCCAGTGGCTCCAAGCCACACGCTCCTAAGAAACACAAGACTGAGTCAGGGAATGAAAAAATTTAGCATACTAAAATATGCAAAAACTGTGTGCTAGAAAGCAGATACAGGGGAAACTCATGAAATAATAATGTACAAAGAGACCAACACTAAAACTCCGAAAAGGAAATGAGCAGAAGGCTCTGCTTCGCTGTGAGCTGGCATCTGTGAACAGGCTCAAGAACCACAGCGTCACCAGAGAGGTCCTCATCCCCGGTCAGGCAGAGGGAAAGGCACAGCAGGTGAGGGCGTGGTCGGATGGACAGCCGCAGGGCACTGGACAGGAGAAAGTCCCCCTGCCCCTACAGCCACGGTTCGTGGACGACAACTGCCCCCACCAGGTGCTGCAGGAAGGCTGCCTGAGCAGTGGCCCTGCTACCCGTGGACAGAGATGCCTCAGTGTCCCCAGAACTCAGGGAGCTCCCAGGGTCCAGTGCCCACTCCCTGGAGCAGGATCCTGGCCTCCCTAAGTTAGCTCTTGGAGCCGCCTGGTCACCTTGCTTCACAAACCTGGGGGTGATGAGGGGAAACCATGTTCCATACAGACTGCCACATTTCCAGCTACGCGGCTGAAACTAGATAGAAACACATTTCACTGAGCATTCCCTGAGCCAGTGACCCAGGCACCCACCTGCCCTAAGGAAGAATCGGGACTCTCTCTCTCTGAGTCATTAAATGAGCTGAGCAGAACTTAGCTTAAACATCTTGCTCAGCTCTAGTGATTAAAACTATTACATTTTGGAGCAGAATGACACTCGCTTACCCAAGTTGAGGTAAATATTGCAAAAAAGCAGCAACTGCCTCGTGGGAATTTTGTCTTTGGGATGAGTCTGTGCGTTTTCGTTCCATTCAGAGAATATACTGTTAAATACTTCCTTACTCTGGTCAGGAATTATTCCCCTTCCTTTGAAACTAACTTTTCAGAAACAAAACCTATCTTCACTTCCTTACATTTCTTTACAAAATGTTTGCTATCAGTCTACAGTGAAAAACTGGCACTTTATAAAATAAACTTGACTTGGAAGATTGCCAATTCTAGTACTTGGAAAGGCTATAACCAAGTGCAGGAAGACTGGACTGTTCAAAATATTTCACAAAATTCTGAACCTTAGAAAAGCTATTCTCCAAGACTTCTGGGATAGCAAAGCTAGATTTCCTTTTTAAAAGCCATGTTTGGCATTCATTATATTATGAAACAAGTATTTTTTTAAATTAATTCTTTGAATTCCAAAATATACTTTTGAAAATCAACAATAGCTTTTATAAGAATGGAAAATTTGCTATACATACCTCTTAAAAAACCCACTTATCTATTTTGTTCTAGATTTAATGGGTTACCATTTTAAAGTATACCAGACAAAAGGATCTCTATTTTGATCATTATATTGGTCAATTATATTTGATCAATATACATTATATATCATTACATAATCCAAAACAATCCAAAAGAATGCATTATTACCATATAAACCAGCCTTTCAAACTGTATTATAGGCTATATACACTATCGATACTTTTCAACTAAAATGTATTCATAAATACATAAGAAAAATATAAAATATATTTATCTATTATTATGCAATAATGCACTTTTTAAAAAATGGTACTTCAGACCCAATACCGGACACTGCATGAAAAGGCTTGATTGCTTTTGTGTTTAGTAAACAAAAAATGATGTAAATCTAATAATTGCTTATTTTTATTGCTATAGTTTTTTATAAGCATATGTGAATTAAGAATTTATTATTTCATCAACATGACCATTTTTTAGCCTGCTTTACTCCAAATGTAAATTATAATGAATTAACTTCTGATGGCTTTCACTAATAAGTTATTAAAATTTTTCCATGATCAATTACCTTTGACAAACACTGCTCCCGTCAAGAGATGTCACCAATCCAGAGTTCAAAGTAAGTATTTCTATAGCTTAAGACATCCAAGTTTGAGGCATGGAAATATCCAGCAGTTTTTGGAGCTTGATATTAATTCAGATGGGTGCTATATTTCAGTTGCACTGATGTATTATTGTTTCTTAGATGAAAGAAGGCAGCAGGAAGATTCCCCCCCACCCACCCAGTACAGCAGTCAGTGTACATTTGGTGTCTTAGTGTTTATTCTAACCTATTTACCTTTACTCAAAGGAGACCTAGTTCAAGTGGCAAATTTTACTAAAAGTTTAACTGCTTTATTAGGTATAACTCTCAGCATACAGTGTTAAAAAAAATACTACTTCTCTAGAGCAGGGGTTGGCAAACTTTCTATAAAGGGCTGGATAGTAAATATTTTAGATCTTGCCATATGGTCTTTGTCGCATCTACTCAACTCTGCTCTTATAGCAGCAAAGCAGTGATAGGGAATATGTACACGAATGTGCATGGCTGTGTTCCAATAAAACTTTATTTATGGACACATTTGAATTTCATACAACTTTCATGTGTCGCAAAATAGTGTTCTTCTTTTAAATTTTTCCAACTGTTTAAAAATGTAAAAACCATTCTTAACTCTGGGACCCTACAAGAACAGGCTTCAGGCTGAATTTGGCCCATGGGCTGTAGTATGCCTATCCTGGTTCCTATAGAGCAACAGTGAAACCATCCCTCCTTAAAGATTACCACTCCAAAACAAAATGATGGAAAATATGAAAACTAAATATGGAAATATGGAAAGATAAATTACCAAGGGATGACCGAGGTGTGAAGAAATCAAGTCCTCATCCAAGATGCTCACGCATGGCCACCCCATCTTGGTCTCCAGAGCCATCAGCAGTGAGTGAAGAAAGCCGACCAGACCCTTTGCCCGCAGTCCCGCCACGCGCAGGGCGCCCATCCGGTTCTGAGCAGCATTTGCTTGCTGGGCACGCTTCCCGTGTCAACTCACCACTACTCCTGTGGCTCCGAGTGGGACAGAAAGCCACCTTTCCATCCCCCATGTCCTGCGCTTGGAGTCCAGCCACTGAGAGTCCAGCCTCTCTGACTGCTAATGGCCCACAGAAGTCCGGCCCCTAGTGTGTGCTCCGCCTACACAAAGGGGGCTGGGGGCCAGGGACCAGCTCTTCAGGCTCACAGCCAAGGCCTACCGGATTACTCTGGCATTTCAATTCACCAAGCATCTGATTTTGGCGGGGGACAGAACCCCTTCTACAAAACATTTTAAAGAACACTTTTGCCCAGTATGGGAAATCTGGGCCTTTCCACATCAGAGAGGAAGGATGGAAGAAAGGAAATTTGGAAACACGCTGTTTAACTATTGTTAAAGTGCGCGCGTCATCAGCTGAGGAAAATGGCCTGACTGCCAAGGCCTCCTCAGCTCCCAGGAGCTGAAATACAAGGCACAGGATAAAAGAGTGTGCAAGTGGCCTTTACTTTTTTAAAGGACATTTACACAAAGGCATAATAACGTCAAGTAAGGCAAACATCTCCCAGGTTCCAGTTAAGAAAAAAGGACCGCCCAGAAACAGGCCGCGGGGCGAAGGCCCTGGCGCGAGCCACAGCCCTGCGCCCTCCTTTGCACGGTGTGGCGCGACGCTTCGTCCTTTCCCTGAGGCCTGAGGGGTCTCCAGCGAGCTGCAAAGGCTGGAACACGACGCCTACGGTTAAAAAAAAATCCCAAGGTCTTACAGCTGTGCTAAGGTCTTGGAACTTTTTTCTTGGAGAAAGCTACTGCTCAGGAGTCTTGAGCACTGCTTCCCATTGCGACGCGGGACGAGAATTCTAGAGGCCATCGAGGAAGGCCTAAGCGACAAGAAAACGGCCGGGTCACCACGCTTGCTCGAAGGGACGGTCTGGCTGCAAGGTGACGGTGAAGCGGCTCCCTCCTTTCCTTCCACGCTCCCCTCACTCCAGGTGGACGCCGCTCAGCAAAGCGTCAGAGCGGGTCCCTGAGACCGGGCCCCTCGCGCGGTCCTGAGCGCTGGGGGTGGGCGCGGCCGAGGGCCGCCTGGCGCTCAGAGCGCGTCGGCCGGGCGCACGTATCGCAGCGTGTAGTTGGCGCCCGCGTTGTTGTCCCAGTACTCGCCTTGGGCGCAGCGGTAGCAGACGGCGAAGTGGACGGCGACGCCTGGCGCGTCCGCGTCCTCCCCCTCCTTGGGCTGCAGGCTGGGGGGCAGGCACAGCGAGAAGTGGAAGCGCTCGGCTCCTGGCTCCTCCTCGGCATCCCTGGTCCCCCCCGACGCCCCATCTGGCGGCAGCGGCTCCGCTGGCTCGGGCTGCAGCTCGGCCGGCACGTCCAGGAAGGAGCGCCATTCCGTGAAGGTGTAGCGCACCGCCACGGCCCTCGGCCCGGGGCAGCCCAGCACCCGGCCGGAGCCCGTCACCTCCGCGCCCGGGAGCGCCGGGCAGTGCACGCGCTCCAAGCACACGCGCTGCCGCCGCAGGCGCTCAGCCGCGGCGCCCGGCCCGGGAAGCTGGAAGAGGGGCCGCAGCCGGGGAGGCGGCGCGGAGAGGGGCGCGGCCGCGGCCAGCAGGTCGGGGAGCTGCTCCAGGTCCTCGGAGTGCATGGGGAAGCTGCGGAGGCGGGACAGCACGGCGGGCGGCACCTGCGGCTCCTCGGCCTCGCTGAAGTGCTTCACGCTGGCCAGGCTCAGCCCCAGCGCGTCCGCGAACTGCACCCGCTTCTTGCACTTGGCGCAGCAGCCGCCGGGGCCGTGCGACACGCCCTCGGGCCTCTCGCCGCCCTCCGCGCCGAGCCCCAAGGCAAGCTGCTGCCGCTGCTGCAGAAACTTCGCCGCCTGCAGGATCGGGTCGGCGGGCAGGGAGAAGGAGCGCGCGCGGCGGCGGCGGCGGCATTCCAGCAGCTCCTCCTGCTCCCGGAGGGCAGCCTCTTCCCCCGGGGGTGGGGGCTCAGCGTCGGGGCTCGAGGCCTCCGACATGCTGCCGCCGTCCCCGCCACCTTCCATGCAAGGGACCGCTGGGGCTGGCAGCTCCTCAGCTGGCGGGGGGTCTACACACGGTGCAGGCCCCTGCGCCTCCGAACTTAGCAGCTGCGCCCCCTGGGGCTCCATGACGCCGTCTGGCCGGGGGACTTGTCCAGGTCGCGAACCCCCGGCTCAAGACTCCTCTGGAGACTTAACGTCTTGGGTCGTTGCAAGAGCGCGCAGCGCCCGCTCGGGGCTCCAGAGGAGAACGCACGTCCACTGGGGCGCCTCCGGGTTTCAGCGGACTGGGAGGAGGATACGGGCCTGGGGCGGGCTCGGGAGGCATTGAACCTGCCTGCGGCGGGGGAGGGTCCAGGGGGCGGTGCGGGCCGGCCTCCCGCTACCTGGCACTGCCGCCGGAACACCTGGAAGCGAGGCGGCACCCGGCTGGAGCGAGTGGGCGGGGTCCCCGAATGCTGCCGCAAAAGCGGGGAGCCGGCTTTCTGGAAGTCAGGGGCTCCCTTTTCCCTCCCTCGCAGCCCAGCCCAGCCGAGCGGGGCCCGCGTCGGTCCTGCCTCCGGAGCTCCGGGGGTGAACTCGCGCTCAGCTTTCGTGGACACGGGCTCTCCTCCTGCTCATGAAGTGGACTCCCCAGGTCCTGACGGGTCGGCCCTCGGGGGTCGCAGAGCAGGCTCCTCTCGGCTGTCGCGTCGGCACAGAAGTCCCCAAGGCAGGCGCGCAATTGAGGACAGCTCGCCTGCGGGGCAGCGGGGAGGCGGCTGGGCCGCGCGGACGAGAGCGCGGAGCGCCTCCCTCCTCTTCATTCCTTCTCCAGACTTCAGGGCGCCCAGAGCTCCAGTGCCACTTAGAAGCCTGACCCCGCGCCGCCGAGTGGGCTTGGGCCGAGTGCGGGGCGGGGACGGTGCCGGGTTGCGAGGAAGAGTGGACACGGCCGCCAGCGAGAGCTGCCGGAGGCCATTCGCACGGGGCCCGGGAGCACGTCCCCGCTCCTCCCCTCGTCCCGCCCGCCGCGCTCCGAGCTCCGGGCCAGAGGAGAGGGCCCCGCGAGACCGGCCCCGCGCCGCGCGCACCGCCTCGCGCCGCGGCCCCCAGCCCGCACCCCTCGCCCGCCCGCCCGCCGAGGGTCCCGGCGCGCGCTGGGACGCGGGGTCGCGCCCTGAGGAACCGAGGCCGAGAGTCTGTCCCGGGCCTTCCATGGGAATGCGGAACCTGGGGACTGGGGGGGAGTAACCAAAGTGTTTTTAGTTGTTGTTTTGTTTTATTTTTAAGGCTAACTTGAGCTTGATCTAAGTCAGTGATTCTCCAAACTTTAAGGCGCATCAGCCTCACCTGGAGGAATTGTGCAAACATTGCTGGGTCCCGCCCTAGAGGTTCGGAGTCCTTAGGTCTGGACGGAGCCCCCAAGTCTTTCCGAAGGGGCACTCTGACGCTAGGCTCTAGGGACCGCATTTGGGGACTACTCATAAACCTATGTGCACACGTGTACAGGTACTTGTATAAAAAGTTGGGGATTCTAGAAACACATATCTACTATTTCAGAAAAAATTAAAAGCAAAGCCAGCTACCAGGTCGTTTAACTGAGGCATGGCGACTAAAATACCTTGTGGTCTGGCAGAATTGAAAGGGCCAGTGCTTTAGGCATTTCGGTGTGGGGACAGGTAAAGCGGTGGTGAGTGGAGGTAAGGGTCATGTTAATAGCCAATATTGGCTGAGTGTCCAACAATCAACAGAGCAGAGGCTCCCCTTGCAAGGTCTGATCTCAGAACAATCCTGTGAGCTAGGAGTCATATTATCCCTACTCTCCACATGGGACGTAAATGTGTAGAAAGATTCTTCATTGCCCAGGCCTCACAGCTAGGTTGTGGCGGGATTTGAACCCAGGCAATTTAGAGGGAAGATTTGTCCCGTAGACTAGTAAACCAGGGCTGGGGCGGTGGTCCTGAGGAAGGAGCCCTGCCCTCTGCTTGCCGCATCTTGCAGGTCCTCCCAAGCCTGGTGTGTGATGCCGTGATGCATCTCAGCCTGGGGCTTCCAGGAGGCACTGGGTACACCTGGCCTGTCTCCCTGGAAAAACTCCAAGATTTAGGGGAAAAGACGTTAAGTAAGTATTGATATATTTTGGAGTTAAATACAAAATTTGCAAGCTGTTTTAAAGATAAACTGGATCTTCAAAGAGATTTTGAGGTTATGGTGACCCTCTGGGCTACAGCTCTCATCAGGGCAGATGCTGGGGGCAGGGCAGGGACTAGAGGGAGGTGAGGCGCCCAGGCAGTGGAACTGAAGGAGGCATCACTCTCAGGGCCATGCGTGCCGTGGTCCCAGGCCTGTCCCACTCTCCTCTCTTTGGTGGAAACGTTAGCACTCCCTACCCTTTTGGAGCTCTCAATGTATTGGAGGATCCCGGCATTAACCACAAAGTCACACACGCAAATGCAGAGTCAGCCACTTGGGCAGAGGCTAAGAAGGCGGGATCCAACCTGGTCAGGGAGGCCTGGACAGCCTCGGTGAGGAAGGCAAGTGGGAGCTAACAGATAGGGCTGCGGGGAGGAACATTTCAGCCCCTACAAAGGCCCTGTGGGGAGGGAATGTGGCAGAGTAGGACTGAAAGAAGGCCTGTGTGGCCCAAGGGCAGAGAGCAGGAGGAGATGGCAGAGCTGAGGATGGAGAGTAGGGAGGAGCCAGCCACTCAGGGCAGTGGACAATGAGAAGCCATTGCAGGATTTTGAACCAGGTGCACCACCCTCCCAGCACATTAATGTATTCAACAGCCTGGAAGCTCTCCAAAGCTTGTCGTTCATGCGTTTTTATAGAGCTCAGTCTCCAGCCCCCTACCCATCCCTGGAGGTTGGTGGGTGGGGCTGCAAATTCCAGCCCTCTAATCACTTGGTCTTTCTGGTGACCAGCTCATCCTGAGGCTATCTAGGGGGCCCTACCTACTAAGTCACCTCATTAGTATAAATAGGTGTGATCAAAAGGGACTCAAAACCAAAGACACTCCTGTCACTCAGCAAATTGCAAAGGTTTTAGGAGCTCTGTGCTAAGACTGGGGACAAAGGCCACATACATATTTTGGTCACACCACAGTAGGATATACAGGTCTAAAGCTCGGAAGAGCAGGAAGGCCCAGGACTGAGCTTTCAGCAACGCTGGCATTGCAAGGCCAGGAGGAGAGGATGAGCAGCCAGAAGTGTTGGAGGAAACAGGAAAGAGTTCTTCAGAAGGCAAGGGGAAGACTTCAGAAGCAGGGGAGGGAAGTGCTCCACTTGGCGCCAGTGGGGACTTTGGGATCCTCTCCCTTGCCTCCTGAAAGGTGTGGACACAATGGCAATCTCTGGCCCCCAGCCCACACACCTCTGCTCTGGCACATGAGGTGATGCAGACGACTTCTCTCCCAGGCTCACTGTCCCCTGACAGGGCCCCAGTCTTCTCTTCTCTGGGATCCGGATTCCTGACGTCAATTGCTAAATGATGCAGCATGCAAAATAATTTTTTAAAATTTAGCTCACATAGTCCACGCCACTGAAATGTGTTCAGTCCTACTTCAAATATCGTACTTCAGCTGCTAAAATATTTACTCCAGGCATTCAGAGGCTCCTAGCTTTACCATCAGTTCTGGTTACCTATTGCTGCATAACAAACCACTCCAAATGTAGTTGCTTATCAAAATAACAACAGCATCTATTTTGTGCACAAATCTGCCAAACAGGCAGGGCTCCCTCAAGCACTGCTTGTGTCTTCCCCTTTTGCAGCAGCTTGAAGTCTGTGCCTGGGATCATCCGATCCCAGGTCTGCTGCCTGGGCTGCGAAGACCCCTGACAGCTGAGGCTGGACCCACTGCTGCTCCTCAGGCATCTCTCTGTGTCATCTCCAGCAGGGTAGCTGCAGGGCAGCCAGACTTGTAACCTGTTTGCTCTGGAAGAGAGATGGGGAAGCTGTACCACTTTTTATGCCTAATCTCAGAAGTCTCGGTGTCTTTCCTGCTGCATTTTGTTCCTTAGAAGTGAGTCAGTAAGGCTGACATATTCAAAGGGAGAGGAAGGAGATTCCACCTTTTGCTGGAGGAGTGTGCAAGAACTTGCAGGTGTGCTTTAAAACCACTGAACTATGACAGAACAGGACAAATTAGAAAAAGCAAGGGAGCTTTCTAGGGTCTCTTTCATAAAGGCACTAATCCCATTTATGAGGGCTCCATCTCCATGACCTAATCACCTCCCCAAGCCCCCACCTCCGCATACCATCACATTAGGGGTTAGATTTCCACATATGAATTTTGAGGAGACACAAGCATTCAGACCTTAGCCGGCATGTTGATTATTTTGAGCTGAAGGCAATTGAGAAACAGCAGATGCAGGAAGGACTCTCTGCCCTCCTCCTTTCCACTTAAAAGTAGGGCACGAGTTCCCTGTGAGAAAGATGCCTTCCCTGTACCTTGTCAGTGAGACAGGGAGCTGACGCTGAGATGAGTCTGCACAAACCAACCTACCGAAACAACCCTTATCTTCCATCAGTTTCCCCCATATATTTCTGAGTCACTTTCCCACAATTTACCAACCTCAGCCCAAAAGCCTTTGTCCTTTGTCTTGTCACATCCCCGCAATTTATCATCCTTTGTTAAAATGATATATAAGCTCCGAGACCTACTGTTTCTTTGGGTCTTCATTTCTTACACATGAAGGCCTCCATGTACACTTAAAAATATTAACATGAAATAAAATTTGTATGTTTTTCTTTTGTTAATCTGTCTTTTGTCATTTTAATTCTCAGGTCCAGTCACAGAACCTAAGAAGACAGAGGAAAACCCCTTCCTTGATGACACCATACAGTAAATCCCCGCTTATCTACAGTTTTGCTTCCCACGGTTTCAGTTACCACGGTCCAAAAATATTAAATGGAAAATTCCAGAAACAAACGAGTCTTAAGTTTTAAATTGCATGCCATTCCTATGGGCTCCATGCCACTCGGGACGTGAATCATCATTTTGTCCAGGGTGTCCGCACTGTATACGCTGCCCACCCGTCAGTCACTTAGTAGTCATCTCGGTTGTCAGATTGACTGTCTCAGTATCGCAGTGCTTGTTTTCAAGTAACCCTTATTTTACTTGGTAATGGCCCCAAAGAGCAAGAGTAGTGATGCTGGCAATGTGATATGTCAAAGAGAAG